TTGCCTATTCCAGCCAGAGAGACTGCAACAACATTTGTGGTTTTCGTTTTTTTCTTTAAAATAAGGTTGCTTGAGTAGACAGCCAGGAATAGACACTCTGTCTCCTCGTTCCTATACTGAGCCCCGCTGATTATTATGCACAAACTGTCAGGGCTGCTTTGGAAAAGCAGTTCTAGGACTAAAGCAGCCTGACATGCAGAGCTCTGCCTGGAGAAGTGGTGTCCTCGATGACCACCAAAGTCCAGCAGGGAGAGCTGGGACTATTCAGACCCTGCACAGTGCAAAAACAACTTTTTCTCTCGGCCACTCATGTTCCTGAAGGTTGGACAGCCTGGCCAAGAGGGGCATGGATTCATATTGCTCCTGAGGAAAAATATATTCCTGTGCAAAGGAAATCTCTGGATGTGTAGCTGCATCTGTTTGCAATGTGGAATGTGTGAGGCTCCCTCCTTGCTTCATACTCTGCTCTGGTATTTATCCTCCCAGCAAGCCATCACTGCCTCATCTTCCAGGACTGTGCTTCAGCTTAGACATCAGCAATTTCCCCTGCCACAGGCAATCAGTGAAATTACCTGATTTAAGGCCAGAGGAGTCAAAAATGTTACACTTTGGGAAACTCTTTCCACAGCTTCATTGCTTTTGCACGTCTCCAAGCTGCAGATGGACCCAGTCACTTCTTCCATTTTGCACCAGACTGGAGGAGTGACCACTGGTGATGGCACCACTTTCCCTGGATCCTGATGCAGGACCCTGAGCATCTTCCCCCAGCATCCAGCTTCAGCCACCCTCTCCTGACCTGCACTGCCAGGCTCTGTTTGTCCAAAGTAAATTCAGGCAGATTTCCCTGTTGACCATGGGGATTTTGCTTGCTCAGGTGGATCACCATTTTTATTTTATTTATTTTTCTGCTGAAAGTCTGTTTTATGCCAATAAAACCCCAGGTCAGTCACACCACAGGTAAGTCCCAACCAGGGCACAAGGATTCATGGATGTTGGTGCTGTCTCTTCATTTCTTGGGAGGGATGGGGAGAGGGTTGGATGCTCTCCCGCAGTGACAAGGTTTGCAATTTCTTTCTAAAAGCCTGTAATCATCTCAATTCTGTGAGCTATTCAGGCATTTACATTGTTTTTCAGCATCTTGAGTGCTGGCTGGAAGCAGCTCCAGGGTTTGGGGAGTGCAGCAGGATTGCTGTGGGGGGCTGTGCTGACAGGCACCCCCATGCTGAGCAGAAGAGGGCTGTGCTCCTGCCCACAGGTGAGCAGGTTCCTCAGCATTGTCTTTTATCAGGAAAGAAAAAAGGGGGAAAAAAAACCCAACAAATCAATTCTGTTCACATGAAATATGAGCTGAACTTGAACTAATAAACACCGAAGGATAAAGAAATGCCACGAAAACAAAAGTCCTGTTGTGACACAGCCACGGCTGAAGTTCATTCATTTTTTAGAGATTGTTTTTTCTTTTCTCCTCCTGCCTAAAAATGAGATTTTCAGAAGAGAGAAAGCATCACCAGCATACAAACACATCAAAAAAGGAGCTGACTTTCCCTACGGATGCAGCCATCTGACACAGGACACAGTGTGGACACAGAGACCAGGATGGGAGCTCCCTAACTCCATCCCCCATAATGGCAATGTGTATCTGCAGCATCTGGGAACCCCAGGAAAAAAACCTAATAGGCTCTTGGGTGATATTTTTCCCCATTTCCTCCTTGACGATATGCCATCCTCTGGCAGTTTTTTCTCCCCCTAACCCATGCTGGCACAGCAGTGGGAGCATGGAAAGTGTGAGACTGGCACAGCAGTGGGAACATGGAAAGCCAGCTCTTGTCTCACTCATGACCACTTAGCAGGAGAGGAGGTATCCCATTGTGGTATTCACATACCCTCTGAACAGAGAGAGACTTGGCTTTCTCAGAATTTCTCCTGAGAGAACCTGTGAGAGAAGCAGAGAAAAGAGAATCAAAACAATTCTTATCTCACTTGCTGTTCCTGGTTATTGTGCACATGTGGAATGTGTTACAGAGATTGTTTACAGAAGGTGATTGCTTGATTGGATTCTGATGATGATGTTTTGGATTGACCAATTAGGTCACAGCTAATTGTGAAAGAGTTGGGCAGAGAGTCATGAGTTTTCCTAGTTAGTGATATTTCTTGTTAGTGTAATATAGTTATAGTATAATATAGTATAATAAAGTAATTAATTTGCCTTCGGATATCATTGGAGTCAGAGCTCATTCTTCCCACCAGTTGGACACAGCATTTTTCTATATCCCATAACCATTCACCTCACTTACAGGCATCAAAGGACTCCCTGCTTCCCATCAGCCAGCCCTGCAGAAGTTGCAAGGTTGAGATGCAGCCCTTCACAGGAGTCAGCCCTTGCCCTGAGGAGCTGCAGTCGGAGGAGAGCAGAAGGCAGGAGAACACTGATTCCCTCAGTCCATCAGTGCCATCTCGTCTCCATCCTGTCATGCCATCTGTGGGCTTTATCCCAGGAACTCCTGTCACATCCACTCCCATTAGCATTTTTCAATGCTCTCCTGCCCTTTCCCAGCATCTGCTGACCAAGTCCCTCTGGTCAGCCCTGCTCATCACCCTTCATCAAGGCTTATCATTTTCATGATGCTGTTACCCACTTTTGCTGCACTCTGCCCTGCAGCAGCTCAGCACATGAGCTGCAAACCAGGCAACCCAGCTCGCTAGCAAAGAGAGCTTCCAGAGAGGGATTGAGCTGCTATTAATTTATCCTATATTTGTTTTGAAAAGATGCCTGGGGAAGGTACACCATTTCCCTTTCCAGTTAGAGCTTAACAGCCACAGGCTTTCTCCTTTCTCAGAAATGTAAATCCATGTTTATTTTGCATGTACTCGATCAATCCCCAAGGCATTGCATCCAACAGGCCAAAATCAGAGCTCTGTCTCCACCAAAACACTTCAGGAGAAAGAGGAGAGGGAGACATGCTCTACCTTTACTAGAAGAAACATCTATTTATTTGGGACCAAGGCAGCTGCATGGAGTATAAATTATTTTAATTGGTAAGCCCAACAGGACTCAGTCCCTCTTAAAGCATAGGGAAGACCTGGAACATCCATTTCCAGAGTGATCACTGAGGAGCAGCCAGACTTCAATTCCTACGAGGCTCTTCAGAGGGTTTGATCATTCAGGATGGTCTCACATATACAAAATACTAATCTACCTGCAGCACCAGCCATAATCTGCTCTCAGTTAAAACTTGTGCAACTCAACTGAAGGCAATTTGTGAAGCAAACATTTAATTTAGCGAGCAGGCTCACAATCCTAAATTTAAACATATGTCAAGCCAGCTAGTGGCTTTGTTTTAATTAACTCTCAAACTTTGTGGCTGTCATTTCTTTATATAAATGAGGATGTTCTGCCAAGGGCAGCCTGTGAGCCTGTGTGCATCCCTACGAAACCTCCTGCTATTTCACAGCCACTTTTCAAAGAGCTCTTGCAGAGGTAAGGGGATGTGGATGTTATTATAAGGGTCCATATGGCAGTACACTGGCACTGCAGCATTAAATCAGAGGTATTGTAGCTTTCCCGCCTGGATTCTCGCAGTACCAGGTAATGTATATGTAGCTTTATTGTTGTACAATTTTAGTGGCTATGCATTATTCAGGAGCAGCCTAAGTCTCTGCACTGCCGGAGGTGATTCAGCGATGATAAAGGGAATACGCTTTGCTCTAAAGGCAGGAGTGAAGGGATTTCACGGGTCGCTATCTTCTCCACCCACGGAGAAACAATGGAAGCGTTAACACTTCTGGTAAAGAAATCAGCTGGCGACAAATTCTCATCGATAATTAAAATGAAAGTGCAAGCTGCCTTAACATGTAGTTAGACTTAGGAACTCTAACCTGTTCTCTAAATTAAATGCTTTCCTTGATAATTTGCCTCTCGCAGCAGGCACTGAAATCTGCTAGAAGATGCCATCTAGTGGGTTATGGAAGTTTACTTAAGTTTAAATCCACTTGCTGATGTGGGGCGAGGATGGCAAGAGCTGCAGATGCTGGGGTGCGGAACGGTTCCGGTAGACTTTTTGTTGTCGCTCCAGGAAATTTCCCTGCGGGGGTTTGCATTGGGAGAGAACTAATATTTATTTTACCAGCGCCCAGCAGGGCAGCGGGTTGTCGCAGCTTTGCTGTTGACACAGCCGAGCCTCACGGCTGCTGTGCTGGCAGAGCATCTTCCGAGCGCCGGGGCTGCGTGCTCTTCATCGAGGAAACGGATCCGCTCCCCATCCTTGGGAAAGCTCTGCCGCCATTGCTTTTTTCCTAAAAAGACCCTTCCAACGCTATCCTGTGCCTCTAAATTATGTCGTTTTCGTTGTAGGTGAAGCTACTTAAATGCTGCCCGACTACACAGCGTGTTGTTTAACGCGAAGCAGGGATGGGGATGGATTTGGAGCGATGCTCTCTGTCGGTGTCCCGGCGATCCATCTCCATCCCTGCTGGACACCGGCTGGTCCCCGGGCCGATGCGTGCCCGTGGGGCGAACCCCAGCCCTTTGGGGGCCACCCGGACCCTTTGGGGGAGCATTTGCAGCCCTGAACCTTCAGGCAGCTGCCAACCCTTGTCCCCGCTCCCGTCTAAAGGGTCCCTCTGTGATTAAGGCGTTTTAAGCCAATTAACCACCGCGACTCCCCGCCACCGACGGCCAGCGCAAATCCCGCTCCGGCGGCGCCCGCCCGCACCCCCCGCCGTGCCGCGGCCTCCCCGGAGCGCCGTTCTTGGAGAGTCATTAGCGGGGAGTCATTAGCGCGGGGTCATTAGCGCGGGGTAATGAGCGGGGCTGTGGGCGGGCTGTGGGCGGGCTGTGGCGGCCCCGCCCCGCGCGAGCGGAGCGGAAGTGCCGGAGTTGCCGCCCGGCGCCGCCGCCGAGCGCGGGCCAAAGTTGCGCCGAGGGAGCGCCCGGGAGCGCGGCGGGGCGGCCGGAGCGCGCTCCCCCTGCTCACCGCCGGCCCCCCGGCCCCATCCGCTGCTCAGCCCGCGCCCGGCAGCCGCTCCCATGCGGCGGAAGCAGAAGCGGCTGCTGCAGGCGGTGGGGCTGGCGCTGGCCGCCCTCGTCTTCTTGCCCAACGTGGGGCTCTGGTCCCTGTACCGCGAGCGGCAGCTGGAGGGCGGCGGCGCGGCCGGTGGGGACGGGGCGGCCGCCGCGGGGGCAGCGGCCGGCGAGGCGCCGGTGAGTGAGGGGGCTGGGAGGGCTGAGCGGCCCCGGGTGTGCCGGGGAGGTCGGGGGGCTCCGGTGGCAGCCGCTGTCGCACGGGGCGTGTGCGGGGCTGGCGCGACCCCTCCCATCACGGAGAGGGGCGAGAAGCGGCAGCCGCCCCCATCACATCACGGAGAGGGGCGAGAAGCGGCAGCCGCCCCCATCAGAGGAGGGGGCGAGGGAGGGAAGCCGGGTGGGCTGCGGTGGTCCCCGGGAAGGAGCTGGTTTGCGTATCCTGTGCTTGCGGTGGAGCGGGAGCGTACTTTTTTGGCAGGGGACGGGAGGGTCTCCGTGCCTTTTTTTGTCAGAGCGTGGTAAGGGAATAAAGCAAGGTGTTTGCATCTTGCGCCAAAGAGTGAGGAAGGGGAGCTCGTCCCAGCCGCGCACAGGAAAGAACGGCAGCTCCGTTTCCCAAGGCTGTGCCTCCGTGCCATTTCCCTTTACCTGCCTTGGAAGGGTGCGGGAAGCAAACATCACCTGTTACTCTGCGTCCCCGCAGAGCTCCGGGCGAGGGCTCACAGAGAGTACCAGGTGGAGCTTGAGGATTATGTCAGCGGAGTGATGCTCCTTTGGGAAAAGAGAAGCGGATAACTCGTCCCGAGAGGCAAGGGATGCCCGCCGGATATGTGGCCTGAGGATGTTGCAACACATGGCTGCATTCCTTTCTTGTCCCACGGGTGTAGTAGTAAATTTAACAGCCAAACCTGTCTGTCTAGTGTGTGAGTTAGGAAGGCTTGATCGCCCAAATTAGACGTTTGGAAGCACAGTTTAGCTGCACTTACTTTTGGCTGTGTAATAGCTTTGTCCCCTTCTGGGTTTAGCTTTGTGCCATTAAGAATGATTGGGACTTGAAAGCTTGAAATGTCATTGTGTAACTATCAGTTCAGCTGCCACTCTAAAAGGCTCCACTTGTTCAAAACCACTTAAAACTCTTAGTAGTCTAAATCTTTCCTTCCTTGGAGACTTCCTGCTGTAACTGCACCGTAAAGGTGGAGAAACCTGCTGTGACAATTTCTGCTCCGAGGGAGAGAAAGCTCTCAAAGAACTGTATTCAAACTGGGATTGAGCTCTTCTTTCCCCCAAGAAACGCTTTTTCAAACTCAAGCTTTTTTGTGTAAGTCTGGATAAAATCATGCTTGTGTCCCATGCTGTTGGGGAAAGGGATCAGCTGTTTCCTGTCATAAAACATAAATTTGCAGCAGATCCTCAAATCTGTGCAGAAGTCCTTTTGACTTGATCACACAGTGATCATTACATGCCTGGAGTTCCTGATTTTACTGCCTTATCCTTGTATTGCTGTGGGATGCAGGGAATCTATTTTGCATGACTGGTAGAAATCAAGCCCTGCTCCATAGCTTCACATGTTAGAGCGAAATAAAGACCTTTGTAAAATCATGTGTCCTCCAGAGGAAACGAGGAGAAAGTTGGTCATTATTCTTAGGAGGTTTCAAAGTGGAAAGTTGGCTTTTGTGGTTTTGGTCTTCCAGAATTGTCCTTGTACTGTAGGCTTTGGGTAGGTGTAAGCCAGGCAGTATCTCTGCTGATTTCTGTGTCCTTGCAGTGTTCTCGGTGTTCAGCTATCCTGAGCTGCCCGTGTTGTACACAATGCCTGCTCCATTTTTCTTTATGTCTCTGTAAAGTATGGCAGCTGTCAGTGATTTGAGATCTGCTTTTGTTTTGATGGTGTGTGGAGCTGGGCAGGAAACGCCTGTGCAGCTTGCAGGAAAATTCACAGTAAAACCTCTCTGCGCTTGTGTAAATCAGAGTTGCTGGGTTTTAGGCTGAAGGCTTCATCTTCCAGTCTAATTACCATGGAGTTATGGGCTGCAGGGGGTCTGTGAGTGAAGATATATTTGTGTTATGTGCTTATTTTTTGAATGATTTGGCCCTGCAATGATAGCTCCAGTTACACTGAGCAGGGGAAAACATAGCCTTAAGGACAACAGGCTGTCTTGGTAAAAATAATTTCAGATGAAGCAGAATAAAAACAACTCAAATGTGATTTTGTTTTTCTGTTTAGTTGTGTGGTTTGTTTTACTGTTGTCATAGAGGTATCTGCCAGCTGACTGCAGAGAGTTGTTTGGGCATCCTCACAATCAATGGTTCCAGCCTCCCTTCCTTGGTCCCGACAAACATTCATGGGTTTTGTACTTAATAATCAACTTCAGCTTGAAAATGAATATGCTATTTGTCTGCTTGTTCCTGAAGCTGTTCGAAAGAGCTGACTTCTTAATACAAAAACTCCAGATGATAGGAGAGAATATAATGAAAAAATATATTCAGAGCAGTCAGAAAAGATTTTATTCTGTTTCTGGCTTTAATTTGCCTTTTTGTGCAGGCTAGTCTTTGAATTGAGGACATTTCCTATGTGCTTCAGAATTGAGCTTTTCAATGAAATCTCTGTCCAGGCTCATTCTTTCTCTTTAAATGGTGTCTGCTGTTTCAGTCAGTAGTTTTATCCCTCAGAGTAAAAGCAGAAGAAGGGGGAAGGTTTTAAGAAACAGCTGAATTAAAGCTGTAAAACAATTCCTAGAACCTTGTCTTATTGCTAAAATTATGAAGTTTGAAACCACCCAGGAGTTTTTGTTGTCTGTCTGTGCTGCGTGTTGCCTTCAGTAACATGGCAATATACATCACTATAGGTGATTTGGCTTTATTTAATCTTTCTAGAGCCCGAAACAAATGTGTCAGAAAATTAAGCAATCAGAAATGATGTAAATATATTCTAGGGAAGATTATTCTAAACGGTTTCTGCGGAAGTGCCTAGGCAGCTAATTGCTTCTGTATTTACATGTTCAGGGGAAACATTATGGTGGCTGAAAATAGTGTCTTGCTTTAATAAGGTGGGTGACTTATCTGCTCTTTCCTTCTGCTTTTGGGTTTGTTCTTTTGCAGCTCTGTGGGTGCTTCTCCCTCCACAGAGGAGAGATGGAGAGAAGTCATCAAGGTCTTGGCCTCAAGGTCATGCTGCAGATCTCCTTAGAAAAGCTGAAGCTCTGAGTTAGTCCTCACTTCACTGCTGTGTGCTCAGGAGTGGCCTCTGTCACTCTGTGCAGTGGCTCAGCAGAGGAGATGATCTGGGAAGTCCCTTTTTCCTGGGGTGTGTAACAGGTCTGGCATTAAATGGGGACGGTTGCATCGTGGTACTGAAGTGTTTCTGCTGACAGCTTAGAATCTGCTTTGACTTCGTGACTGTGCTGTTTGCTCATCACTACGCGTGTCTCAGTGTGCTCACGGAATGCAGATTGACTTTTCTGTAGATTCATCTTTTTCTTTTTTTAACAACTATTCAATAAGTAAAAACATACGATCTGTGGGTGTGGGGGTAGGCAGAAGCAAAAGGAATGCAGCTATTCTTTTGTCTCTTGGATCTCTGCTGTCTGCTTCAGAGGCTGCTGAGCATCCTCAGCCCAAATGTTTAATTGATGTGGAGGTAGCTTTGCAGTGTGTAAACCCTGGATGAGTTAGGCTGTGGGCTGGTGGCTTATGTTTGGGCTAATGCAAGTGTTTATGTGGCTTTCAATGCTCTGCAGAGCTGCTGCTCTGCTCTTCTGTGGTCAGGCTGGAGATCTGCACTGTGTGAAACCTGCTGTTCTGGGAATGTGGCTTTGAGCTTGGAGAGATACTGAGCTTAAAGGTTTTTCTTTGAATTGCTGGCTGAAAGCACTGTAGCAAATTAGCTGCCTTTCGTGGCAGTGCGTTTTTATCTGATATGATGAATGCTTTATGGAGTCGCCCTGTAGCTTGTTGTAGCAGTAATTTGTGCTCAATAAATTAACTCGGGAGCATGATGGAAGTGTATAAATCACATCGGTGATTGTGTGGTGCCCTCTGCTGCCGGCCGGCCGGAGTGATGTGGGGTACACCCTCCTGCTGCTTCCTTGGCAATGAGAAACCAACTGAGAATTTGGGATTGAAAAATGCCTTGGGATGGTGCTGCTGTTGGAAAGTTTGAGGTGATAAACTTTGGCTTTAGTGCCATTGAGCCTAAAGTTTCCAGCCAGCATGGCTGAAAATGCAGCCCTGGTGATGACTGAGTGGGGAGTGATGCTGCTCTGCCTTCCAGGGCTGGTGTCCTCCTCAGCTGAGCAAGGGGATGGGCTTTGCTCTTCTGACCTGGGGCAGCTGTGAGCTTGTCAAGGTTTGCCAGCATTGTGTGTGGTTGGCAAAAGCTAATAAGGAAGAGGGAGCCTGTTAAACCTGGGGAGGGAGGACAAGGGTTTGGGAAAAATTAGAGCAATGCCTGTTCTGCTCTCTGCCAGCCAGAAGGGAATTGGACAACTAGCTTGCTGTGCTTCACAGCTTCCTCTGGCAGGTAGACTGGTTGTGTCCTAAACCTTGCTGCTGCTCCTGTCTGAGGCTCTACTGTGTTGGCAGCTGTGTTTGCCAGGCACTCACCGGCTGATGTAAAGGGAAACTTTGAAAAGCTTGTTTTTGTAAGTGTAGTGTAAAACAATTGGCGTCTAAGGACTGGAGTGTAAGTGCTACAGCTGAACAAGCCTGTTTTAATTTAAGAGTGACTGACTGAATGTGGGCTACTCTGAAGTTTATCACTTCAATGAGTGCACTTGTGAAACAAGCAGGGTTTTCTGAGCTAGGTAAGCGTGTCCTGCAGTTGTGATTGGCAAAGGGAGCTGAAGTGAAGTGTCTAAACCATCTCACAACTGTAAAGTGAGAAATAAAACTTGAAAATAAATTTGTAAAGAAACTGAAGCTTTCAGTGGCCTTCACTCAAGGTCTCGTTGTGGTGATCTTTGTTGTAATGGCAACACAGAGCTGAATGAACAAAATGGGCTGTATTGTAGGTCTCCTATGCTGTGTGAAAATAAAGGTTTATTATAGTTTGTTCTTCATCATCAAGCAGGTCCTTCTGTTATTGGAAAAGTGGTTCTATTTCACTCTTCAAACATGCTCCATATGCACTTAATTGCTGCAATGGTGACCTTTCTTCATGCTAGGAAGATTTCTACTGC